ACACACACACACACACACACACACACACACACACACACACACACAGTCTCTCTTTTTATTCGAGACAGGGTTTCTTTGAAGCCTGTCCTGGAACTCGCTCTGTAGACCAGGCTGATCTCGAACTCACAGAAACACACCTGCCTCTGCCTCCTGAGTGCTAGGATTAAAGGCACAAAACCACAGCCAGTTCTCTCTCTCACTTTTAAATTAGTTGAAGGAATGGCAAGATGGCTCAATGTGTAAAAGCACTTGCTGCCAAATTTAATGACCCAAATTTGATTCCCATAACCCACATGGTAGAAGACAGATTCCTACAAGCTGTTTCTGATTTCTACACATGTGGCATCAAACACACATGTACACTTCAGAATACATAAAATCAATACATAAAGTATTTAATTGTGAAGTGTGAAATTTTTAGAGATTATATCTGAAAATCAGGCATATTAAAAACTAAAACTAAAGCAAAAGAAAACAAAAAAACCTGAAAGTTGAGTATGTCTCACACCTGTAATTCCATTGTTCTGGAGGTAGAAGCTGGAATGTCAGAAGTTCAAGATTCTCTTGAGCTACATATGCAGTTCAAGGGCAGCCTGGGTTATACGAGACCCTGTCTAAAAACAAAGGGTAATAGCAAGGGGGAGACACAGTTCTATGGTTGTCAAGGTAAGATTTTTATTGTTGTGATAAAACACTATGACCAAAGCAACTTGGGGAGTAAAGAGTTTACTTCCCTTACACTTCCATATCACAGTATATCATGGAAGGAAATCAGGGCAGAAACATGGAGATAGAAGCTGATTCTGAGACTATGAAGAAGTGTTGCTTACTGGCTTGCTCATTAGGGCTTGCTCCGATTGTTTTATTTTATCATCTAGGACCACTGGCCCAGAAGTGGCACCACCCACAATGGGCTGGGTCTTCCCCATCAATCACTAATTAAAAAAAAAGAGCAGCCAGGCAGTGGTGGCATACACCTTTCACCTTTAATCCCAGTACTCGGGAGGCAGGAGGACCTCTGTGAGTTCAAGGCCAGCTGGTTTACAGAGCAAGTTCCAGGGCAGGCTCCAAAGCTACAGAGAAACCCTGGCTCAAAAAACCAACCAACCAGCCAACCAACCAACCAAACAAACAAATGGAGCCACCAAACTTGCCTATAGTTCAATACTTCAGAGGAAACTTCTAAGCTGTGAGTCTCTTTTCCAAAGTGACTCTATCTTGTATTAAGCTGACCTAAAATCAGCCAGCAGAGTGAAACTTGTTTCAAAGAACCATGGCTTGTTCTCAGCACCCACATGGCAGCTCACAACATCCATACTCCATTTCCAGGGGATCTAAACCCTCTTTTAGCCTCCACAAGCACCAGGCACACAGTGTACACACATGAAGCTGTTGACAGTTTGACTAGGAATAGCCTCTGTAGACCCTGTGTTTGAACACTTGCCCACAGGCAGTAGGACTTTTAGGAGACCTTCCTTGTTGGAGTTAGGTGTGGCCTCGGTAGAGGAAGTGCATCACGGTAGGGAAGGGCTTTGAGGTCTCTAATTCCTAAGTTAGGCTTAGTGTGGTATTCACTTCTGCTGTCTGTGGCTCAAGATATAGAAACTCTCAGCTACCTCTCCAGCACGTCTGCCTGCGTGCTGCTTCCTGCCATGGACTAAACCTCTGAACTGTTTTTCTTTATAAGAGTCTGAACTGTTTTTCTTTATAAGAGTTGCTGTGGCCATGGTGTCACTTCACAGCAATAAAACACTAACTAAGACAAAGGAAATTGTCTAACTGCAACTTGATATTCCATTTTTGGTTGATAGGCATAGGAGGCCTGCCTTTTTCTGAAGAGAATCAGATGGGGGGGAGTTAAGGGGAGAGGATGGAAAGAGAGGAGTGAGGGGAAACTGGCTGGGATGTAAAAAATGATTATAAACACTAAAAAGTTCTTTTTAAAGACAGCATTGACACATTAAAATTTACATGCACAAATCTGAAAATTAAAGAAACTAAAATAGTGTTGGACCCTAGCGTCCAATCACTGAGGAGGAGGAGTCGCCCCAAGAGACCATCCCTCACATCACAGCTGATGTAAAAGCATGAGGATTTTATTAATTCTGTCATGACAGGGTCCTCCCGCAGTTGGGAGGCTAGAAGACCCTGAATGGCTGGTACAGGCTATTTTTAAAGGGAAAAAACACAGAAGGAAGGGGTGTCTGGGGGTTGTTCTTTAACTATTATGATTGACTTATTCAAAAGGGCTATTACCAATAATTGGCTGGAGAGTGGTTGCCAGATCAGATGAGGTAAAGGGACACTTCTGAGGGTCACTTTGCCCCTTCCCAGGGACTAAGTCAAAACATCAGTCACTGAGTCAACACCTAAGGGTTATCTTGCCCCCATTCAGGGAGATGGAAAGTTCCCAACATCTCAGTACGTGCATGCATAGCTGTTATGTCCTTGGTTCCTAGGGGAGGAGGGGAAGTACTGAGAGTTGTCAGAAATGGCATAAGAATTGTCTTAAAGTTTTACAACAGCACCATTACCATTAATATACAGGTCTACAATTATGTCCCCAGTTATGGTCAAATTTTCTTCTACAATGAATATAAAACTATATAGAAAGAAATATTTTTACAGAAAGAAAAACAACTCAGTAGAAAAATAGAAAAGGTTCTTTGCCAGAATTTTACAAGTGAGGCTATTCTGTTGAACGATAAAGCAAATGATTTCCTTTGAAGATTAAAGGGAACTGGGCTGGGGAGATGGCTTAGTCAGTAAAGTACCTAATTCACAAGCTTAAGAACCTGAAACCCAAGCAAAATTGCCAGGAGAAAATTTGGGGCTTGGTTGCTAACCAATCTAACTGATAAAAGTCTAGGACAGTGACTTTCTTAAAGGAGATAGATGGTATTCTTCCAAGATGATACCCAAAGTTGTCCTGTGAGTTCCACATTCTCTTGTGCAGATACACATATACACACATATATTTATGCACATGAAAAAAAAATAGATTAAAAGAAGTCATGTCAACCAGATGGTGGCGGCACATGCCTTTAATTCCAACACTCAGGGGGCAGAGCAAGCAGATCTGAATTCAAGGTCAGTATGGCATACAGTGTGAATTTCAGGATAGTCAGGGCTATACAGAGAAATTGTCTCAAAAAAACCAAAAGAGAAAGAGAATGACAGTGACTCTTCAGGCTAAATTTAAAGAAGGCTAAATTTAAAAAAAAAAAAGTCTAATAAAATTTCTGGAATTTAAAATGATTGAGGCGGGTCTCTGAGTTTGAGGCCAGACTGGTCAACATAGGGAGTTCTAGCAAGGACTACAGAGAGACCCTGTCTCAAGAGGAAATGAGATAGAAGTGGGGAGGACATATGTATATGTGTCTGACTGTGGTGTGTGCATGTATGTACATTCATGAAGGCCAGAAAAGAACAGAATGTTGGGTAGCTGATTCAACCACTCTTCATCTTGCTCCACCAAGACAGGATCTCTCACCAGCCTACATACTAGGATAGCAGCCACAAACCCCTGCAATCCTCCTGTCTCTAACATTCCTTTCTCCCAGTGCTGGGGTTACAGGACTACATGGGTCATGCTTGGCTTTTTATTTGGTTGCTGGAACACAAAACAGGTATCCATGTGTCTCTCCAGTAGCAGGACGTATATAAGACATAAGGAGCCAGGTGTGGAGATTCACAGCTATAATTCCAGCAAGTGTGAAACCAGCCTCTACATCATACTGAGTTTGACATAAACATAAATGACCTTGAGACCCTTTTCAAAAAATAAAAAAGGAAAAGAAAAATTTGAAAACTAGGGCACAGTGATGTACACCTATAATTCTAGTACTTAAGAGGCAGAAGTAGGTAAAGGTAGGAGAATTATCATGTGTGTGAAGTCAGCCTGATCTATACAGTGATTTACAGACCAGCCAGGGCTATACAGACACGATCTCAAAATAAACAAAAGCAAAATCATACTCCTTGTCTGACTAGTTTTGTGTCAACTTGAAACAAGCTAGAATCATCAGAGGAGGAAATTGCTCCTTGGAATCAGGTTGTAGATAAGCATTCAGGGCATTTTCTTAATTGATGATGATTGTGAAGGGTCCAGCTCATTGTGGGTGGTACCAAACAAACCCTTTCCCCCCAACTTTGGGTAGTGGCACGTCATTCACAGCAATAACCCTAACTAAGATACTACTACTCTTTAATTTTTAAAAATGTTTTTTATTATATTTTATTTGTTTTGTGGGTGTGTTTGTGTATATGGGCACACACTTGTTATAGCATGTGTATGGAGGTCACAGGACAGCTTATAGGAGTTGGTTCTCTCCACCATATGGGTCCTGGAGACTAAATCCAGGTCCTCAGGCAAGGCAGTAAGTGCCTGTTATCTGCTAAATCACCACCAAAGCCCAAACCTACCTATGACTCTAAAGAGAAGGCAAAATAGTTCCCCAAAGACAACATTAGGAGCTAAATAGAAGGAATGTCTTCAACAGAGCCTGAAAGCACCCTACCTGGGCTCGCTCCTCATCAAACTCCAGGCAACCCATACCATCCAATCTGTGGAGATCAATCCAGCCCTTCCAGATAACACATACACCATTCAGAATCATGGGAGCCTTCAAGTACACCTAAAAAAAAAAAAAATAAAATAAAGAAAGACAGTTGAAAACCAACAAAAAGTCATCAGACCTAATGTATATGGACGTTTTGTCTACATGTACATCTACACACCAAAAGAGGGCATTAGATCCCATAGGATTATAGTTTCAGATGGTTGTGAGCTGCTACATGGATGCTGGAAATTGAGCTCAAGCCCTCTGGAAGAGTAGCCACAGTGCTCTTAACAGCTAAGTTCTAGTCCCAGACATGCATGTGTGTGTGTGTGTGTATGAGTGTTTTACCTCCATGTATGTCTGTGCACATTGTATATACAGTGTCTACAGAGGCCAGAAAAAGGTGCTGGATCCCTAGAACTGGAGTTACAGATGGTTGTGAGCCACTCATGTTGGTGATGAAAATCAAGCCTGGGATCCCTGAAAGAATACCCAGTCTTCTCAACTTCTGAGCTATCTTTGCAGCCCCCAGATATGAAAAGTATAAGAATTACAGGAAAAGTACATTTATTAAATTTTTAAAATTTTTTTTGAGAAAGGGTCTCACTATGTGGCCCTGGCTGTCCTGGAACTCCATGTAAATCAGGCTGGCCTTGAATTCAGAGATTCTCCTGTCTCTCCCTCCTGAGCGCTGGAATTGAAGGTGTGCATTACTTGTGCATGGAAAGTACGAATCTAAATCTTACTTCATTCATTTTCAGAGATTAAAGCCAGGGTCCTGCACATGAGGCAAGCACTGTGTCATAGAGCCCTTACAATTTTTTTTCCCAGTTACAATTCTTCTAGAATGCTTTGAAAAGAAAACTTCATAGGATTTGTGAAAGGACTGGGAAGACAGCTCAGGTTTCTCCAGTATGTGCAAGGCCCCGAGTTTTATCCCTTGTTTATCCTTAGAGAGGGGAGAGGATGGAGATGTGAAAACCTGTAAGGAACAGGGTTTCTCTGTGTAGCCCTGGCTGTTATGGAACTTGCTCTGTAGACCAGGCTGGACTAGAACTCACAGACATATGTCTGCCTTTGTCTCCTGTGTGCTCGAATTAAAGGTGGGCACCACTACCGCTTGGCTAATTTGTTTGTTTGAGACAGGGTTTCTCTGTGTAGTCCTGGCTGTCCTGGAACTTCTCTGTAGATTAGGCTGACCTTGAACTCATACAGAGACCCTTCAGCGTCTGCCTCTCAAGTGTCAACATTCTTTATTAGCGAGAATGTGAACTCCCACAAAATTATTTTCGGTAAGATAGAGAGTTCTTATAATATACTAATACCCGTATCTGCTTGTATATATTTTAGGAAAATTTTAGGAAAATATTCAGAAGGAATACTCTGAGGTTGGTGGTGGTACACACATTTAATCCCAGCACTCGGGAAGCAGAGGCAGGTGAATCTCAGTGAGTTCAAGGTGAGTTCCAGAACATCTAGGGCTGTTACACAGAGAAACCCTGTCTCAAATAAATAAATAAATAAATAAATAAATAAAAAATAAAAAAAAAAAAACCAAACCAAATCAAACAAAAAATATTTTGGGATGATGTAACACCTTAAGTCACTAAAAAATTTAAAATATGTAATATACTCTATGCTTGAAGTTTAAGAAGGTATCAACAAATGCTATTTCAGATTTTCTAGATTCAAAACTATACATCTTATAAACCTTTAAGACTATCAGAAAATCTCAACATCCCTACACACTGAGGTGACTTGAACTTTTACAGTTTTATATTTTCTTCTCTAAAAATAACAAATACAGTCACCAAAAGTTTTCAAGTAAACAAGTAACACTAGAGCAAAAGTCACTTTAAGCAGATTTTCAAACTGAGATTTTAGTCACATTAATTTTCACATTGACAGACTTTTCTCAAGAATAAGAATGCACATAGAAAGAATGGTTACTAATATTACTCAAGATAAATATTGCATTATGACACAGATATGAACCGAGAGAAATTTATCATAGTTCCTACAGTCTTCACTGCCCTAATGCCAAGCTGCCATGGATCTCAGGATGACTGTGATCTCAGAATCATTCTACTTCCACCTTAAATGCTGAGACTACAGTCAGTTACCCAACATATGCCAAGCATGGCTGTGCTTTCCAGCACTCTAGAGGCAGACGCAGGTAAATCTTTGCGAGTTCAAGGCCAGCATGGTCTAGAATGTGCATTCCAGGACAGTCAGGGCTACACAGAAACCCTGTCTCGAAAAACCAAAAAAGTAACTAAGGAGAGAGAGGGGAACAGGAAAATTTTGTGATTACATTATAATCTCAAAAATTAAAATAAAAATAGCAATTAAATTTTTTGAGACAGAACTTTATGTAGCCCAGGCTGGCCTTGAACTGATCCTGGCTATTTTAAAAAATTGCTTTTCTTTGTATCTTCTCTATCTCACGTAACACAGGCTTCTTAATGAAAATAAGCATAAATTTAAATCATTCACTGCCTTGAATAAGATATTTAAAATTCAGAGGAAATGGAACTTCAGTGAATTTTCTAAACTCCAAATAACCTCAGGCAGACATCTGTGAGTTCTAGGGCTAACCTGATCTACAGAGTGAGTTCCAGGACAGTCAGTGCTACACAGAGAAACTCTGTCAAAACAAAACAAAACAAAAAAAACCCACCCAGACCAAAACAAAGAGAGAAAAGCTGAAATCATCCTTTCTTCTTCATTCAATTCAGCAGTCTCCTATGTTTTTCTCCTTATGCTAAGAACAACTTTTTAAAATAAATGTTGCAATAAACCCGAAGAAGCAATTTCTACTTATAAAAAAAAAAAAGAGGTTCTCCAAAAACATAAGGTTCTAGTTTTCCTCCCATTTGAACAAGGGAAACAGTCTGCAGTTGTAGTTAAAACCGTTTAACCACATATTTCCTTTTGTTCTGATAAGTGCTCATTCCTTTCTACATTATAAATATATTTATTTATTTATCCTTTTTTGAGAGACTCTCATGAAACTCAGCCTGGCTTCTAACTTGGTGTGTAGCTGAGAGTGACCTTGAACTCCAGATCCTGCTGCATCCACCTTCCTCGAGCTGATGAACACACCTACTCACCCCCAAGTCCAGTCACATTCATTCATGGGTGTGCACCTTGAGTCCAGTGACTGTGCTAACCTCCCACTCAGTACTCCCGAGAAACCTAACAACACCCGACTTATCACCTCCAGAGAAGATTCTGCTCTTCACAGCACATGACAGAGAGTGAGACACTTCACTACCAAAGCCTCCACTATGCTAAATTCTGATACCAATCATGGGTAAAAAGGTCAACCCCGTGTTACTTTTAGGCCAGATTTGTGTTCTTTGTAAATGGTTTATACCTTTTAGAACTGCAGATTCTACAATTTCTTAGCTTACTCATATTAACTAACATCCACAGTCAAAAATATTTCTCTTATGAAATTCGTTTTTTAAAGCCCATCTTTTACTTCTTTATAAATCTTTCTTGAAAAGGAGACCACCACGGATCTGTTTTGGGAAATTCCTAAATGGCTTTAGAAAAATGGATACATTCATTATGAAGAATAATGTCTGGACTCCTAATTTAAAATAACATCTAGATGATCCTGGTGATTTATTTAATGATCACACTGAAATAAACAGTTTTATGCATAATCTTCAAAGTAAATGTTTGGTGCTTTTATATATTTATGAAAACCAGGCCTCAAAGTCTGAAGAAAATATACTGCTGTCTCTTAACAGCTGGTATTTTGTAATGTTAATTCAATAATGTCATTTAAACACAAAGACATTTATTTCATTGAAAATGATGCCTTATTTCAAACTTTGAAAAGAGAGGTTTTATATGCCCCCAAATGAAGCTCAATTGCCCTGGAAAAAAGTATGTTATAGAAATGGATTCTACAAAGCCTTAAAAACTAGTAAACAGATACAGCCAATCAAAGAAGCAACAAAGCAGATTATCTTTCCAAAGGCTAAATACTACAGAACAAGACTTCACGGATTTAAAAGTGACCATAGCCTCATTTTTTTTAAAAAAAGGTAAAAGCTGGTTTATTAGAATTTAACTCAAGATTTAAACAACAATATTTTTGATATCATATTGAATCTAAGTTATATAAATCACTTTATTTTTAACTTATGGCTTCAAATTCCCCATTATTCAAGCCACAAAGCAGTTCCATAAAAACATGCTTGTATCATCCAGCTATATTATTAATACAAGGGTATATTACTCGTACATAAAAAGGAATGACTGCTAGATGTGACGGCACACGTCTCTAATTGGAGCACTTAGAAGGCTAAAGTGGAAGGACCACTGCAAACTCAAGGTAAGCCTGCACTACACAGGATGACCATCTCAAAACAAACAACCCCCCCCACAACAAAACAAAAAAACAAACAACAAAAATAAAAATCAAGTATTGCCTCTATAACACAGGTGAACCCTAAAGCTACTATACTAAGTGAACTAAGTCAGAAAAAGGTCAAAATTTAAAATCAACCACTATAGACAAATTCAGAGGAGCTAAAAAGGAAATATGAGATTTCAGTTTTCTTAGAGATCTGGGCTGATATAATAAATATGGTGTCCACTACCAATACTATGGGTTTCAATCTAGAGGAAGGGAAGAGAGATTCCTTGAGGAATAAACAGGAAATGAGGACTGATGGAGAACTTGGAGAAAGTCCAACTTCTCAATTTGGGCAGAAGTAAATAATGCAGAGCAGACTATGAACAGCCATTACTAAATGAGAACATGTATTATAACCATAGGGCGAAGTTCTCCTTTGTTGACTACACTATATCAGAGACTCACCCACCTCTGCATGCCCAAGTTCAGAACACCCATAAGGAGGTTTGAATTTATATGTATATTTCAGTAAAACCAGAAACTGTAAAATTCCGAATAACAGTTTGCTTTTGAATCCAGGTGCATTTTTTCTAAAGAATATTACTTTCATTAGCTTTTCAAAGGGGCATGCAAAGCAAAAAAGAATTCAGTATGACAGTAAAAACTCTGCTAATCCTCCTTCATAGACGGACTTCAAGGA